ATATAAGAACATGACCCTGATGGGGACCCTGGGACCCTGGCCCCCATTTCTTTCTCCCCCTGGTTTCCCAGCCATGATGGTGGAGACAGCTCCCTCTACCACATGTTTCCCTCAAGGTTTACAGCCACCTTACACAGTCCCAAAAGGTATGGTGCGAACCGACCATGAACCATAGTACCCTTTTCCTTTAAAAAAATTGATTACCTGAGACACTTTATCACAGCTACACAAAACTGACTAGTATTCCAGTGTAGACACAGAGTGTTCCAGTGTAGACTGCAGTACAAAGCCTCAGAGTGAAAAGGGTCCAGAGTGTGAAAGGACCTGTCACTCTGTTTAGCAGTTTCCCAGGTGTCTCTAGACCCGAAGTCTAGACTCTAGACTTAATGCCTCAACCCTTTTGAAGGGACTCTAGTCAGCCTGAGTACGGCAGGCATGGCTCTGGCAGGCCTTGCCCTTCTCCCATTCCCTCTGCCTTGCTAAAAACCGTTAGATCACATCCCTAAAGCTAGCCACCAAGGTCTATTCCCTTACTTGGCCACGTCCTCCTCCTGAGGCTGACTACCAAGGTCCAGCTATCAAAGTATTGAAGTCCAACAACCAAAAGCCCCCCTCGGCTCACCTAATTAACACGACCAATTAAAATTAAACACCTCATCCTGACACAGGGTTTTCCCTTGTACCTTTAGAAACCACCAGTTGCCTAAGGGCCACGTCTGTCTCCCTTGACCTCTATCTCTTGTCTTTGTCTCTTATTCCCTGCCCTTTGTCCCTTGGGGGAGGGAGAATAAATCTCCTTTGTGCTGAGAACTTGGTCTTGGGGGTCCTGAGCTGACACTGTTCCCTTTCACCTTTAACACAGTTCATCATGCTGTGGTGACTCCCCAGTCATACAAATTATTTCGTTGCCACTTCATAACTGTCCTTTTGTTACTGTTATCAATTGTAATATAAATATTTGTGGAGAAATATAAATATTTGTGGAGACAGGTTTGCCGAAGGGGTCACCACCCACAGGATGAAATGCTCTAGACCCTTTCACTATGGATATCTTACATGGTACACCAACGTGAAAGTTTCCCACTAGTGAGAAACCCTGACAGATCCATCTACCCCTTCTCCTCATGGGAAACGAGAGGGCTTAGCTATTGCCTTTGGACAATGGATACAGGATCTCAGTGCCCCTTCCTAGAAGATGGGTTCATATCTGTCACTGGAAACAAAAACAGAAAAACAAAAATGGGGGTCATCTCTGCTAAAGTCCCCATAGGTTGAGAAATCAGGTCCGTTTATGGCTGACACTTTCATTAAAGAACGAGGAGAAAATTGCTCCCTGTGGTGAAAAACTCTGAGTTTAAAGTCTACACAGGCCTTTGAAACAAGGAAGTGACATCCCTCGTACCCATGAGTGGAATGGTGGCCTGGCAGGCCCAGAGAGACCAAAGGAGAAGCGGTTCTCCGGGCATGTGCCTCAGTGACTGAGGACAAAACACCAGCTCGAAAGCCCAGTGCCAGCCACACACTGAGGACACCCTCTTGAACGCAGTGGTGGGGACACAGCACATCAGTCTAGGTGCTCCTTGGGGAGACAACTAGCTCTAAAACTCCTCACCAGTCTCTGTCTCTCGATATTTATCTCCCTGTGAATAAAGGAGCCAAAGTGTGGTATACCAGGCAGTCAAGCCAACGGGTTCCAAAAAACCGTAACGCCCGTCATGAAGGCACGCCTCTCAGCCAGGACCAAGCTGCAGCCAGCTCTGAAACCCTCTCAGCAAACCCCACAGAGCCTACCTCAGAGGCGACCCCAACTCCCCATCCCGTTCATAAGAGGCCTTTCCAACTCAGCCCTGGGAAGGCAGCAGCTGGGGTATCATCACCCCCGCCCCCCAGATTGCCACTTCACCCAAGGTAAAACTACTACCAGAGGAGTTTCAAGGAGGTACAGTCGCTTGAAGGCCTTAAGCAAATGTTAAACCCAGAACACTTTCAGAAACTCTGAAGCTACACAGCTCAGTGGGGTGCAACCCGTTATTGGGGAAGGTCTGGCCCTTTCAGTCTGGCACACCTACTTTTCTTACTCATTTTAACCACCTCAAGAAACCCCCCCAAGAGAGGCCGTTTTCTCAGCAAGGCACGTTACAAAAGAAAATGCGAAATGGCCTTGTTTTCTCCAGCAAAATGAAACACTGTTATGTTTTATTCATGCAAAGTGAAAACCCTTTTCCTTTGAGCGTTACAAATGGAATTTGCTCTTGTAAATTGCTGTTAAGGAAAAAAAAAAAAGAACCCAAAAGCAAAGGAAAGTTAAATACATACATACACACACACACACACACACACACACAGCCGGAATACAAAGGCTCCTTCTTCCAGGGCATGAAAGCTCCAGGGACCAATGGGAAGAAACAGAACCTTTAAGTGGCAAACTTGGTTCTTTACTAACAGCTCCCAAAGGGCTCAAAGACACTCCTTACCCCTAACCACAGAGACACACTGAGGTCCCAAAGGGCTCAAAGACACCCCCTACCTCTAACCACAGAGACACCCTGAGGTCCCAAAGGGCTCAAAGACACTCCTTAGCCCTAACCACAGAGACAACCTGAGGGCCTGACAGCCTAGGGGGACTGGCTGTGCTCTTTGGTGGGGATGGGGGTGGGAGGGGCTCTTCCCGCTCTGCAGGTAAAGTGAAGTTACCAGGGTTTGCAAGGGTTTCCTATCGTCTCTCTCCTGTGATCGACTGTCCTCCAAGCCACCAGAAGTCTGACCCCTCCCCACTGCAGAGACTTGAAAAGGAAGCCATGTAATTAGATGGATCTGTTAAGTACACGTTGCTTAAAAAAAGAAAATCAAGAGTAAACATTCATTAAGCGTTTGCACGTTTTCATGACTGTGCCCATTCTACACACGCATTGGTGCATGCACACACATGCTGTTGTTCCCTGGCAGGGTCTCCATTTCTCAGAGGGGAGAAAATGAGGCGCAGAGAGCCTCAGCAATTTGACCATCTAGAATCCAAATCACATTCTCTCATACACATGTAGCAACTGGATTTATTTTAAAGACATAGTGTAGACCGAAAACTTGCATGGGTAAAATCTAAACCAAAATATACGTAACCGGGCTGAGGACCTGCCTCGGTGGTGGAACACTGGCTTGGTACGCTTGGGGCCTTCAGTCAAGGAACACTATGAACAAAACCCTAACAAATAACCGACCTGAATACACATTTCTAGTCGTGGAAATATATAATGGTCCCGGCTTTGGCTCCTGACGCACAGATGGACGTGAAGGACAGAATCAGGAATGTAGGAGCCCTCTACAAAGGCCAAATGCTTTTAAAGATGAGTAATGGCCAGCTCAGAGTTTCTTTGTAACAGCAATTCTCTGACGTGAAGGCAAGCACTCCAGTACTCCAGCACTCCAAATGAACGGCAGGCTCTAAGAATCATCTTTCTACTCGCTCACCCTAAAGCACCTGCCCCAGCTGCTGGGGCTCCTTGCTCTGGTATAGAAAGCTCAGAGATGTGCTATGCTCCCAGGAAGGTTTAGCCCAATCAGCAGTCAGAGAATTCGCCTTTCTCACATCTGGTTCCAGCATAAATGCTTGGTCTTTGACAGTCAAATATTTAGTCAGAAGCCTTCGTTTCTGGTTTAGGATGTGGAACTGGTCAAGGACAATCGAACACACTGGTGCTTCATACACAGCATGGCTGTATTAAGACAAGGTAGACCCTCCCCTTATAAAGGACCGTGTGACCCAATTTCAAACATACAAACAACGAACACTCCAGAATGTCGAGGAAAACCATCCCTTTGACACCTGTGGTTTCTATCTCCTTCTGTAACATTTTTGTCCATTTTCAACCATGATACTTGAAATGTCTAACGGATTGACCCAAGAAGCTAGAAGACGCCCCTACACCCTGGGAATTGCCAAACACTGACTATAACTTAAGTGTCAACTGAATTGTACTTTTGTCCAATTATTTTGCAGTGGGGTTCAAGTACGACATTAGTGGTAACAGCTGCTAAAATTATTAGCACGACATGGGCTTGAAAATCAGATCATCAGTTTTCTGTCACCTTGGAGAACAGAAGACTCACAGTGCTTGTGGTAACTCATTTTCAGTAGAATATCATAAACACACACACGGAATGCAATTGTTATAACTAAACATTTCAAGTGTTAAACTTTAGGCAAACCCAAGCCGCTGATACTCCTGACTTAAAGACTGAAGGTTTAGGCTTGTGTGTGACCTCATCCTTTAAACAAGCCCCTTAAGAAGAAATGTCACTAGTGGCGTGAACCTGAAGTGGCCAGGATGCAACCAAGTTCAACGACATTGATTAGGAAAAGAATGTGGAGAAGGGAGAAATGAAGGGGTGTGGATTGTCTGATGCGTAGGGAACTTCGTAAAATGAGAGAGGAGAAGTATGTATGTAAGCCCCCTAGCCACACGAGTGGCCAGGCCCCTCCCCCGAGGACTGCTAACTGTAAGGTTCCACCCACAGAATACTCTAACTGCCCTAACTGCTGGACCCCATCCTGTAGAGTAAAAAGTTCAATCAGTGGACGTGAAATCGCACCAATCCCCACCCTGAAAAGTTCCACCCGCTTCCCAAGAAGCTCTATAAGCCCTGTGTCCTGTCCAGTTTGCTGCTGTTTCTCACGTGAGTAGAGGCAGCCACCCTCCTGGTTGTCTTCCCTCCCAATAAATCTCCTGTGTGAGGATTGCTGTGTGGTGTGACTTTGAGGTATTCCTTGGCTCCCGGCTGCCAGGACACCTTTCCATCCAAGCTGTAATGCTTACAATGTAGACCCAAAGGCACGAGTCAGAGCTGACCAAGGTTTGAGGGATGGAAGCCAGGAAGGGAAAGCCTGGATATCTTGGGAGGCAGCGGAGCAGAGCAGAGACTCACTCTGGCCTATTACATCTCTAATCAGTTTCTGTTAGGCTTCATATTGAGGGAGGTTGGGTTGGATCAACCCAGGCACTCACCGGCCATTGTCTCGGCCCACACCCCACACGCGGATGCTCACGATGGGCTGGGAGTGTAACACGGAGCGGTCCATGGGGTCCACCAGGCTGAGCATGTCATTTTCCAAAATCAGATACATGTCTTTGCCCTGGGAGTCAACAAGAAAACATGGAGACCTTACATCTGATGTGTCCCAGCCTGCTTTTTAGCCAGCTCTTATCTTTAACTATTTACACTTGTGGATCTAGACAAATTACTAACAGGAATGCCCCAGAGCATCCTCTTTTATGAACTTTACCTGCCACCCCCCTCGCTATTCATTCTTCATGTCAAGGACATGCTCCTTCCTTGACCCACAGCCATGTCCATCTCCTCTACTTTCCCATCCTATATCCGCAGGATGTGGCCAGCGAAGGGTGAGCACCACTTCCTATGCTTGTTTATTGGATGTCAAATATTACACTGAATGTCTGAGGTGCACAGAACTCTCAACTGCCCCGTGAGAGCTTGGCTTATGATCTCTAACTAGCAGTCGCGGACTCCGAGGTTGAGCGCTAAATACCTGCCCAACATCTGATGCGGAGAGCCTGTAATGGATGTCACCATCATACTAAGAGGGAGACCTCTGGCTTTTTAACTCTTGTGCTGCAGTTTGGATTTGTAGGGTTTATTCATGTCCTTTCTCCTGATACAGGTTGGCTCTTTAAGGGCAGGAATGCAAGCTTATGTAGCTTTCTTCTTTCCTCATATAATCCTCAGGCACACTTTCAAGGAACGATTAACCATCTGCTATACAGCTGAAAGATGGTCTCTCAAGAAGGCAGCCCAGATGCCATCACACTGAAACCAGGGAAGCCTGCCTGAGTTGAACCATGAGGCCTCTTGGTGGGGCTCCAATCCCAAAGGGATGGATGGGTTGCTCTTGGTACAATTTTTGAGAACAATGTCAAAGGTTCTTAGAATGATTGAGCTGTGATGCTTGGGATGGCAGAGGCAGGTAGGTAGTGCCTCTGCCAGATAGTGATTAAGAGTGGCCAGTGTCTGCAGCTGGCATTCACAGTGACTGAGAGCTTTCCCTCGAGAGCAGACAAAACCATTTGCAGATAAAATCACGAACAAAAATGTAACTTGCACAGATTCGTGCAAAGCCTTCCCCCAGAGCCTGAACGATGGATGGTCTGCTGCCTCAAACCTATGGTATCTGCAAATGTCTGCTGTTCACGTTAGCGTGAATCACAACAAATTTTCTTAAGCACGGGGAAAGCTAACATTTGGAGAAGAACAAAGACTGCTTAATTTCAAGAATGTGTGTGAGATCACACTTCATTGCCAGAGTCGGTCCTTGGTGACTGCATGTGAGAGAGTAAAATCTCAAAGGGGTTTTCTTGCAAGAGAGAGAACTCTTCTTCTCCCTACTCCATGCAGGGATCAGAGAGTCTGGTTGGCAATGTAGTCCAGCCCCATAGCAAGGCTCCCCCTTGGGACAGACTGCCGTGGGGAGGCTTGGGGACCTGCTTCTCGTCATGATGCGCTGCTGGGAGAAACCGACGGTGGAGCTGCCAACAGTCCGGTCCGAAAGCAAAGTTTCCTACCCATGTTCTGCTGGTGGGACCCAGGCAAGCGCAATCTAAGATGCTCTTGATGTGCTCTGCAGGTCATAGGGCACGGATACGGCTTTCTCTGTTTGGTGTAATCTTAATTTGAATCTGGGGCACTTTCTATTCAGGTATCATCTCTTTTATCTTCTTGGTTGTGGGTCTAGCCTTTAACAGCTGAGCCATCTCTCCAGCCCTCAGACATGATCTCAACTAATAGTTCAAAGTAGACTCACTTTATAAAAAGTGAGACAAACGGTAGGCATCCATTCTACAGCTCATGTACAATGACTGTCAGGTTACAAATGAAGAAGTATGCGAAGGGTAATTAGTCACATTATAGAGCAGGACATCAGAATTCACGAGTGCAGATGTGGGAATCACAGTCACTGTAAGAGTCATGGGTTGTTCCCCAGAACACGGTTAATAGATGACATTCCATTGTGCACATGAACATGGGATGGCTCCTAAACTGTCAAAGTTCACTGATGGACCTTTGAGGATCTGAGAGTCAGGGAACTGAGCCCCTGAGAAAAGTTCTCTCCTATAGGGGCATGGTCCTGAATGGTATGTGGTGGGGTTAACCATACTCCAGTGCATCATGCCTACAGTATTTGTCCCTTGCCATTGGCAAACATATCAAGCCCCTCACTAAAAGGCTTCACAGAGCCCTGTGCTTAAAGAAGCATGGCAGAACACAGGAAAGTAGCCACTGACCGTTCCCAGGGTGACTCACCTCTCCCCAAATGCCGACTGTGTCTCGGATGTCATTTTTGCAGTAGGAAAGCTGCCGGATGCAGTTGTTGACAGCAACGCTGCTCTTCCCAGGGGCAAGGTCCTCCTCTGCCATCTCTACCCAGCCCAGAGAGCGCACAGCAAAACACTGGAAGACGAAGTCAGATGACACAAAGTGACTCATCGGTTGGGGGACAATCTGCATCATGTTACTTGGAACTATACAGCAGCTACAGGGTCTGCTCCGCACATCATTATTTGCCTCACTGTGGCTGATCATCCAAGTCAGTCAGCAAACCCTCTTCTGTTGGGAGGCGAAACTGCGACGATTTGTACCTTTTCTATTTTGAAAAGCATGGGGGCGACCTTCTTTAACTAGTGTAGTGCTCTCAGATATTCTCCTTAGAAGTATACAGGGGCATAATTACAGAGCTAACCAACGACACAAAGGCTTCTGAGTTCCTAGGACCTGTGATAAGGCAGATTGGTTTTCGATGATAAGAAATGTAACCCGTGAGACCTGGTATTATTAAGTACCTAAGCAAAGGAAATAGAAGAACGTGAACTATGTGCAGCAGATGGCCAACAGAAAATAAACTCAATAGTATTTTTGGAGGGTTTTTTTCCTCTCATAATGTTTTGTCTGGACTTTTTTTTTCCCTTACAGATATTTTACTTATACATTATGGTTTTTGATTTTTTGTGTCTTCATGGGATTTCTGGGTGTGTGTCTCTGTATCTATTTATGTTTCTTATGCTTTTCCTTTGGCTCTTTTTTAAAAATTTTCTGTTCATTTGTTTATTTTCTTCTATTCAGGTTTTTTTTTAGTTTTGTCTATCTTTGTTTTTTATTTTCATTTTTTAAAAAAAGATGCCTGTTTGTTTCTAATGAGAGTAAGAAAGGGTGGGGGTTTGGGTGGTGAAGGGATCTGGGAAGATGTATAGGAGGGGAAACATAATCAGAATATATTGTATGAAGAAAATCTCTCTTATATATACAAACACGTACAAGCCAAAAACAACAACAAAAAAACCCTCCAAAAGACTCCCAAATAATTATGTGCTTATTTTAATGAGCACAAGGCATGAAACACAGCATACAGCATGGCGATGCTCTTGACCACGAGAGCTGCCATCCTGAGATGACCTCAATTTTCTCTCATCCCTCCCTGCATCCCAAGGTCCCCTCGAAATTGTGCACCAGTTTAAGAGACCAGTCTCCATGGCCAGGTGGAGCAGACAAGCAGCCACCTTCTTCTTTGAAAGCAAAGAGATTGACTCTCAAAGAGAAGCTGCCAAGTTTATAAATGTGAACTTCAAGATGAAATGAAGAGCCGGGCGGTGGTGGTGCACGCCTTTAATCCGAGCACTCGGGAGGCGGAGGCAGGCGGATCTCTGTGAGTTCAAGGCCAGTGTGATCTATAAAGCAAGATCCAGGACAGGCACCAAACCCTGTCTCAAACAAAAACAAAAACAAAAAAAGATGAAATGAAGAAACGTGATCATCTACCCCAATGTGACGAACATCGAGTCTGGTCTAACTGTCTCCACCCCAACACCACGATTGGAGTGGGCATCCCTACTGGAGTTGCTAGTCACACTTCCTCAAGGGGGAGAACTCAACAAAATGCTAAACACAGAAGTTAAACACAGTTTGCATACCATTCACAGATGCTCTCCGCCTAGGGAGGAGGGCTGGGTTTGCTGCTGTGAGGTCAGGATATGCATGAGCAGAGTCTATTACAAATAAATCCCAAGGAGAAGGTAATCCTAGAGACTGAAAGCTACTGGGCTGCCTGTCTTCTGGGGCACATCTGTGGCAGAGCCCCTCACAGTTGTTCTGACTTCGCGTGAGCTGCAGAGAGAGAAGACGCTGCTCTGCTGACTGGCCCGCCCTTCCTGCAGCTCTGCTTTCCCAGCCCCCAACACAGACTCTATTTCTCCTGGTGGCTAGGCAGAAATGCCCAGGCACATATCACCGAGCACCCTGTTTTATTAAAACCCACTTCCTGGATCTGAGCTCATGGGCACCCTGACCCCCCTACTTCTCCAGGGAGCCAAGGAAGCTCAAACACATCTCTTCCACTGGTTCCAAACATAAGCACTCATTAGTAAAGTCAGTGTCACGACCAACCCTCTGGCCTTGTCCTTTAGACCCTGTCAATTCCCCCTCTCCCCCTAAAAGAACTAACTTTTGGTTTGGATGATATTTACTTGCATTGCACCCACTTTATTTATGCATTCTTACTTATTATTATTTTGTGTGTGTGCACACATACACACGCACACTAAGTATGAGGCCTGGGATTCTTTGGCTTGTGGCTACTACTCTTTGTGTGCAGGCACAGATGTGTAAATGTTGGGTGTCTTCCTCACGCTTTCTCCACTTTGTTTTCTGAAACAGGATCTCTCAGGGAATCTAGAACTCACCAAATCAGGACGGTTGGCCAACAAACAGGCCCCCAGCTCCTGTCCACCCCAAAGACCATTCCCTTTTGAGTATATCCCAGGGTCCCTGTCCAGGCCTCAGGATCCACACCAAAGGCTGAATTCACTAGGGTTTGGACTAAGATAAATATGTATTTCCTGTCCAACCCACCACTTTTGAGGGAATAAGGGGATGGGTCCTTATAAGGTAAAAGAATACTGGCTACCTTTTGTCCCTTGAGTGCAAGAACACATGAATTTCAATCTAAACAAACTCAGTAAAACACAATGATATTTTTCCTGGATTAAAAAAAAAAAAAAAAGATCACCCGATAGCACACTCAGATTATCATTTTGTCATGTTGATAAGGAAACAAAAGCCCAAAGTATCATCATCATCATCATCTTCATGAATTTATTTAAAATCACTTCCTTTCACAGTCATGAGGTTGTTTAGTTTCTGGTCTGAAAAGATTCACCACTATTCCATGTAGCCAAAGAAAAATGGGATAGAGGAAATACTGTGCTCCACCATGGAGGGCTTCCAGCTGGGTCCGTTCCAAAGAGTGAAGAGAACCAGCACTTCGTGGTGCTGCCCCCAAGTGGTCAGGAAGCTTTAAAACAGTCACTACGTTACCTTCAACTCAGGAGGTAAACCAAATTGGTTCGTGGGAACAAAAACTTCATTGGGGGTAGGGGAAGAGACGAAAATATTTATTCAAATCACCTGCCTTTTAAAACTTTAAAAAAGATAGAATTGAATATGAAAAAAAATTAATATAAACTTTTTTTGTTTTGTTTTTCAAGACAGGATTTCTCTGTGTAGCCCTGGCTATCCTGGAACTCGCTCTGTAGACCAGGCTGGCTTTGAACTCACAGAGATCAGCCTGCCTCTGCCCCCTGAGCGCTGGGACTAAAGGTGTGTGCCACCACTGCCCGGCTGAATATATACACTTTGATGGCTGCTCATTCCTCAGCGGCTCCTGGCGAAGCAGGCAAGTGGGCGACAGTACAAGGTCCGGATGCTGTAATCAGATGGATCTGGATTCAAGTCATGACTCCTCAGTATGCAGGGAGTGACTGTGGTAAGCCACCTGAGGCTTAGTGGCTTCATATACGAGATAGGAACAATAACATTACCCACTTGATAGTACTGAGGCAACGGAATGAGATGAATGGTCCTGTACACAGCAAGAAATCACTGACTGTTTAATGACAATCATTTCTGTCAATAAATATTCTTCTTTGTTGCTGTTTTTTGAGACAGGGTTTCACTGTGTAGCCCTGGCTGCCCTGGAACTCTCTCTGTAGACCAGGCTGGCTTCGAACTCACAGAGATCCGCCTGCCTCTGCCTCCGGAGTGCTGGGATTAAAGGTGTGCGCCACCACCCAGCGAATTTTCTTTTCTGCTGGTGGGTTTTAAACATTTCCCTGGCTGAACAGATTTCAGCCAATGTTAGCATGTGGACAAGGTTTCTGTAGACCATGATGCTCTGAGAACTGCTGCGGAGGGGCAGCCCTGCTGTCTCCCCAGAGCTGAGCCGCTCTCTGGGCTCTGAGTGTAAATGCCTGGTTCGAACCCCAGGACAGTCATTTGCCACTCGGGGTCTTAGCTAGCCTTGCTCATTGCACATACAGACATGCATGTATGAAGGCCAGAAGTCAGCCTTGGGCCGCTCCTCAGGAACCATCGGTTCTGTTTTGTGAGGCCGCATCTCTCTACTGGGCTGCTAGGTCAGCGAGCTGCTGGGATCCACCTGTCTCTGCTTCCCTAGTGCTGGGAATGCATACATGTACTGCACCATGCCTTGTATGCCACCATGCCCCACAGTGCACCGTGCCCCGCAGTTCACCATGCCCTATATGCCACCATGCCCTGCACTGCACCGTGACCCGCACTGCACCATGCCCCGCACTGCACCATACCCCACACTGCACCATGCTCCACACTGCACCATGCCCTGCACCATGCCCTGCACTGCACCATGCCCCGCACTGCACCATGCCCTGCACCATGTCCTGCAGTGCACCATGCCCCACACTGCACCATGCCCCACACTGCACCATGCCCCACACTGCACCATGTCCCACACTGCACCATGTCCCACACTGCACCATGCCCTGCACCATGCCCTGCACTGCACCATGCCCCGCACTGCACCATGTCCCGCACTGCACCATGCCCCACACTGCACCATGTCCTGCACTGCACTATGTCCTGCAGTGCACTGTGCCCCACACTGCATCATGCCCCACACTGCACCATGCCCTGCACTATGTCCCACACTGCACCATGCCCCGCACTGCACCATGCCCCACACTGCACCATGCCCCGCACTGCACCATGCCCCACACTGCACCATGCCCTGCACCATGCCCTGCACTGCACCATGCCCCACACTGCACCATGCCCTGCACTTGGATCTGAGCTCCTCGGGCAAGCACGTTACTGACGTATGTCTCTCAGCCCCTGTGTTGGTTACTCTGAGCGCCATCTTCACAGAGACCTGTACCGGGGGAGAACCTCAACGGAAGGTCTGTGGTGGTGAAGAACAATTCTAAGCCCTGCTTTATCACGCCACAGTCCCGGCTTCCAGTTTCTCTATTCCAGCCGGCAGGTGCTCAGCCCCTGCAACTCTAAGTCTGCTGGAAAGTGGTAACACATAAGCCCACAGAGCTGCCAGGAGATTCCAAACAAAGCGGGCGGCATATTGTCTGGCA